AAATTAAATGTCTTCGTACAGATGGTGGAGGTGAATACATGAGCAAACAGTTCACCACATTTTTGCAGCATCACGGAATACAACACCAGGTTTCCTGTCCCCATACGCCGGAACAGAACGGCGTAGCAGAACGCAAGCACCGGCATATTTTCGAAACTACCAGGACTCTTCTGCACCGTGCTTCTCTACCATATACCTTATGGCCCGACGCCGTTCTTACCGCTGTCTACCTTATCAACCGCATGCCTAGCCAAAACACAAAGAATATGTCTCCTTTCGAACTCTTACACAACCGCAAACCTGACTACAAACATCTTCGAATTTTTGGATGCGCATGTTTTCCTCTTATACCCGCGTCTCAGCGCACCAAACTTCAACCGACAGCGATGAATAATGTGTTCTTGGGTTACTCTGATATACACAAAGGCTACAAATGCCTCAATCCTAATACTAACAAAATAACTATATCACGTCACGTTACGTTTGATGAATCTTTCTTTCCTTATACTACTAACTCTCAACCTGTTCAATCTCAGGAAAATCAAATCTGCCCATTACTGCTTACACCTATCTTGCCTCAACCACCCAAAACTACACCGGCTCCTGATTCAGTTCAACAATTCTCACAGAATGACAATGCCACCTCGTCTACCACCGCTGTGCCGTCTTCCGCAACTGGCCTCAATTCCAGTCAATCTCCAGCTCAGGATGCTCCGTCCATTATCAAACCATCTCACCCAATGATCACTAGGCTTCGTACGGGCTCTCTTAAACCAATAACCCGTCTAAATCTGCTTCACACCGAGACAAACTCGAGTTCACCCTCTACTCCTACCTCATACTCTGAAGCCAGCAAACAACAGGTATGGCGACAAGCAATGGCCTCAGAATTCTTTGCCCTTCAACAACAAGGAACCTGGAGTTTAGTCCCTCTACCGCAAAACTGCCCCGCTCTAGGCTCTAAATGGACCTACCGCATCAAAACACACGCTGATGGATCAATTGCCAAATACAAAGCACGTCTGGTTGCTCAAGGAAATCATCAAGAATACGGTCTCGATTACACCGAGACATTCAGCCCACTGGCCAAATTACCCACCATACGTATCCTATTAGCTGTTGCCATTCAATACAACTGGCCAGTCCAACAACTCGACGTGGCAAACGCATTCCTTCATGGCCATCTAACCGAAAAGGTCTACATGCGTCAGCCCAAGGGTTTTGAAGACTCTACGAACCCGGAACACGTCTGCCTTCTTCATAAAGCTATCTACGGACTCAAGCAAGCACCTCGGCAATGGTATAACACGTTCTCCTCTGCTCTTGTCTCTTTAGGCTTTGCTCATAGCACTGCTGATCCGTCTCTCCTTATTATGCAAAAACAAAGCATTCGCATATACTTGCTTGTATACGTGGATGACATTTTAGTTACCGGAAATGATACAGATGCTATCAATTCTATTCTCCATAAACTTAGCACTACCTTTGCAATGAAAAATCTTGGTGAAGCTCACAGCTTCCTTGGTATTAAAATTGACAGAACCAATACGTCTTTCTTTTTATCTCAACAATCCTACGTTATGTCAATTCTTAATACAGCCAAATTATCAAATTGCAATACTTTATCTAACCCCTCTTGTACAAAGATGCCGTCAGCACCTCCCGCAGACGTTCTTCTCTCGGATCCCACTGTATACCGACAAATCACAGGTTCTTTGCAATACTTGACTCTTACAAGACCGGATATTGCATACAACGTTAATCAACTATCTCAGCATATGCATCAACCGGAAGCTCAACATTTCTACCTTCTCAAACGTCTACTTAGGTATCTCAAAGGTACGTCTGATTTCGGTATCCCAATTACAAAATCTAATCTTCTTCTATAGGCCTTTTCAGATGCCGATTGGGCAGGAGACCCAATCTCAAGGAAATCAACTTCGGGCTACTGCTCATTCCTAGGAGATACTCTCATCTCGTGGACTGTCAAGAAGCAGCACACTGTAGCTCGTTCATCGACTGAGTCTGAATATCGGGCTCTTGCGGCTCTCACCGCCGACATTATCTGGCTAAGGCGCCTCCTCTCCGACTTCGACGTCCCTCAACAGCAACCTACCGACATTCATTGTGATAATACATCCGCAATAGCACTCGCTAATAATCTGGTCTTCCACGCTCGTACGAAACACATAGAAATTGATCACAGATTTCTACGTGATCACATACAACAAAAGACCATTCGTCTACTTCCCATAAGCACGATCGATCAAATTGCGGACATACTGACAAAATCACTCTCTACTCCTCGTTTTCATATGCTTCGACTCAAGCTGACCGTTGCTAAGCGACCCATCAGCTTGCCGGGGGATATTAGCAATACCGATACACAGCTTTCAAAATGAGTTAAATAACTTGTAGCCATTTATACATCAGACTATTAGCTTTCTATATATACATATGTAATCACTGTTATGAGCAAGAAGACAAATAATTTCTTCATTACTTTTCACTCTTCTCTCTTCCCTGTCTGCGTTCTTGCTCAAACTGCTTCTCAACACCATACAGTTCTACAAAGGGGATTTAATTTTGTGTTGACTTTATTCATGTTTTAATATAGCCCTCTAATTATATATATATAGCCCTCTAATTATATTAACAGGGTACCAAAATAAAGCCAGGTTTTGATGATTTCGTCCAATTTCATACAAATTCAGCTATTTTTTAATATGTATAGCACTATTATTTATATTAATTTTTTATTTATAAGTTTAAGATTTTTGAAAATCATATAAATTTTTATTTACTACTTTATTGGGTTTAATTTGTACTTTTGATGTTCATTCCTTCAAATAAATAATAACAGAGTTGATGGATGGTTCAATTGAATCAAGTAGTTCTTGTGATTGTCAAGAGTCTTCATAATCGAGTAAGTTTAAGAATTGATGAACCCGTGCTATGTAAGATCCATGTGATTGAGTGAATTTTATTTCATGATAATTGATTGTGTCAGAAACTTTCATTTGGGAGAATTGACGACTTATTTGGTGGAGACTAGGAGATGTTAGTCACCTGTTCCTTCAATAATGATTTTCTCAACTGTGGCACAAGCTCTTTAATATTTAGAGTGCGGTCTCATTGCCAGTGAATGGCCCTCGTTCGTTTGATTAATGTTATCTTACTCTTCTAGAATCAAATCTAAGCTTCTTTTGAGATGACTTTTTTACTGTTTCTTGAAGCAGTTTTTTAGTATAAAAATTAAATTTTTTTACTAGAAAGTTATTTCAAGAAACATGAAAAAATGTCGTCCCAAATGAAACCTTAGTCTAGTAAAAATAACTTTCCCAAAACATCAACTCTGCCCAACATAAAATTTCCAATAATGAGTTAAATTGAAGCATAAGAGGACTATTATTATACATCACCTGGTTTCATTTGATTTATCAAGCTTCTATTTTGATACTTTTTCAAATCTTATAGAAGACGATTATTTGAGCTAATTCAAACGTTGTTTATAGCAACAAAGATTGTCAAGACATTGCGATTCAATGACTTGAACCCCACAATATCAAGAAATTCTGAATATAAGTTCCAATAGGGCTAAATCATGCGCTCATGAGTATGATTGAAAATATGCTGAGGCCATTTGAAGGGTTAAAAGGTCTTTGTATCCTGTATGATTATAGTTAAATTGAGTTTCCATGAAATGAGTTCAACCAGTAGAATATTGCTCAACTCTAAATGCCCTTTAAAAAAAATCTTTAAATAGGCTATAGACCTTACATATTTGAAGGACTTTTGGGTAGAGAGAATTCTCAAATTTAGAAAATTCTAGAACTTCAACTCTTGTTTGGATCACCTAGTGGTTTGATCTTTTGAGATTTTACATGTCCATACTTCTCATCCTTTTTTGGTCACTTGGTCTTTCCTACGATTAGGATCATAATCACTTCTTAAATTTTAATGCATACATATAATGTCACTGACACTAACATGTATTGTTGCCTATCCTCCAACAGATTTATTATTCTGTGCTGAGTGCAAAGGGTGTACCGAGACTAATAAAAATGTGCTACGTCACTCCATTGTTGGGTACTCAGCTCGGTACCGTCACTCCGTACCTCTAGGTACCGCTGGGTACCCAATGTTTAACCGGACCGTTCTCCCATCCGATGTCCGTATAGAATAAAAGCTCCTTCCAACAATCAATGTTATGATCGCCATTCACTAGCAACGATATTCATTGTTGCCCTTTAACATTTTTCATACTTCTAACATTTGTCATACCTTGTCATTGATTATTGTTGACAATTATCACAACCTATTTTTGATGATCGATGTAACATAATTGTTGACACCTTTTTGGCTATTAATCATTATTGTTTGATTGCCAACTCCCATCCTCCAACAATTGTCATCATCTCTTATTGTTGATGCCTAATTTTTATTGTCAACAGACAATAAAAATTTTGTTTTGACAATCAGAGTGCATGCTATGTTTTTATGCTATCGAAAAGTTCTTTGTTGAAGAAACATATAACTTTTTATGTTAAAGATAATGTATTTTATGGTCACACTCGTTGTGGAAACTTAAAACTAAGATTTATCTCAAGTTTTTAATATTCATGCCGTTGTTTTTAGTCTTAAATTTTTGTTTAGACAGTTTTTTACACTGCATCTTAAAATAGTTTTTTAATTAAATATTTAAAATTTTTATATAAAAAATTGCTTTAAAAAATAGTGAGAAAGTCATCCCAAACAAACCTAACTGTAAGTTTTTCTTTTAATAATCGATTAATATCTCTTTATAATATTTAGCATGAATACATAATACAAAGATTAAGTATATATTTCTATGCTTAAATTTGAGAGATAAATCTATATAATGTAAATTATTTATATTTTTGTAAATACAATATTAAAAGTATATGTATATTTGAACAATAAATACTTCAGATTATATTTCTACTTCAAATATGCATCAGCATTTGCTTGCATGTATTCTGTTTATCGGAACGATGCTCAAATTTTTTGCCTGGTGTTGCTTGTGACAGTGCGCTCCCGCCGGCGATTATGCCGGTGTGCAAGTCGGATTCACCCGTGAACTCCAGCGAGGAACAGGTGATTTCTTCTAGCTCGTCCCCATCAGCTCCGGCGTGCAGTAGCACTGCAGATCTGAGGGCGGAGAACGAACGGCTGCGGCGCGAGAACGCACAACTATCGCAAGATCTCGCGGAGATCAAGACCGTCTGCAAGAACATCGTACGCCTTATATCCAAGTACGCCACTGGCGATGTCGGTGCCGGCGGCGGCGGATGGCCGCCTGATGAAACATTGCCGGAGCTGGATCTGATGTCGCCGGCGAAAGGATCACTGAAGCCGGAGACGACGGAGAAGTGTACGAAGATCTTTGGGGTGGCGATGGGATCGAAGAGAATAAGGGATGATGACGGTGGTGAGAAGTGGCCGAAGATGGCGGCGATCGCCGGGAAGCCAGAGCCGTTTGATCGCGAAGGGGAAGGATGGCACGTGACGCGGTGCCGCATGGCCACGTGATGATAGGGAGTAGGGATTAACGGTAGTTTGTTTGGTGTAACCTGTAAAGCTGGATGGAATTTTTAATTTATCTTATTTTAATGATAAGAGCTTTTGTGTTCTACTGTGGATTTTCTGGAAGCGAGCGTGACGAGCGTTTGACAAAGCGCTTCTTTTTTTTGGGGAGATAATAAAGTTTTCTTTTTTAATTATTTTAAGTAAAGTATAACATTTGAGAGGATAGATATTTAAATTTATATTTTACCTTACATAAAGATCCTGCGATTATAGATAAACGTGAAAAATATTGAATAAATAAAGGATAAAACTTTTATTTAAAAAATAATTAAAAAAATCAGAATCTTTTGTTAATTTTAATTGATCAGCATGTTTTTCATAATAATAACTCATAATTTGTGAAGTATCAATTTTTTGCATGAATTTGAACTAAAGAAATTATTAAATGAATTTAAATAACTTCAAAAATATTGTATGATAGATTTTCTTAATGGTTACTAATGCTTGAGTAATTATTAGTTTTTTTTATTAAAATAATAAAAGATGTGTTGAATTCAAATTTGTTTGTAAAAGATACTCAATTTTTCAAATATGCCAACTCAAAGAGTAGAGAAGCTTGTGAATGAGAGAAGATAGTGCAAAGGGGGTAGAAGAGAATTGGAGATCTCAAACAAGTAGAATATTTTTTTATTAGTTCAAGAGATTTTTTTTTTTCTATTTCATTTTGGGTTATCTAAAACTATTTTCATTGCCTCTTATTTGTAGGAATTTGAAGTTTATCTAAAACTATTTCTATTATCCCTTATTTATAGAATTTTTGGGGTTATATGAAAGATTATATAGAACAAAATAGTAAAAATATAATGCTACACATATTTATTTGTATAACATTACCACATTTTTTACATCTTTGCGCCTTTGATTGACATAGAGCTAGGACAGGATTTTCCTATTGGTAAACGAGGAGTTAGTATTGAGTTGTACTTTGCTAATGAGGTAAAAGGACGAGCGCTATAAATGGTGAGTCATGATGCGAAGTTGGATGGATTTTGTTGTGTGAGGTTGATTGCCAGTTGTGGACAACCTGCATGGAGTCTTGAGTTGTGAGAGAATGGTCGAGTGAACTGAGGTAGTTGAGTGAATATAATGTCATTGGCATTGGTAGGGTCAACCGGTCAATAGGGAGGCCTAGGTAAGAGCATTCCTATATATATATAATTCATGAATTATTAGATATTATTAGGAGTGTCAATATTGGACCAAACTCGAAAATTCGATCTGAACCCGATCCAGAAATTTCGACTTTGGGTTGACCCGAACCCGAAGCGGGTCGGGTTCGGGTTCGAAAAGTTGATCCGTTTGCAAAATCGTGTTAGGTTCAGGTTCGGGTTGTGACGCCCCAGGCATCCATAGTGAAAGGATTCGTCTGACATTCTGATCGAACTCCATTCCAGTTGCCTTGCTCGGACCTGAAATTGTCAACCACATATAATGAGCTTAAATAGCCCAGCAG